GAGTGGTATGCAAAAAGTTAATGCATTGTGGATCATGAATCCTAAAGCAATGGAGGTTGAGTTAAAACTTTTAATGAGATCTGTACCCTATATGTGGTGAAGTACTTTACTTTGGGATACTTCTTATAAACTCACCTATGTGAATATGGGAGTGGGGTCGCTCCCTATGAAACTTTGGAGGCACAAAATTGCTAGAGCGTTCACTAAAGCGGGATAACTCGCAGGGCCATAAACGCACGGGCTATGAGAGAAATTCACTTAATGAAAAGATCCGTTGAGAAACACTAGCCGAGATAGAGTTCAAGACTAAGAGTCACTCTTATGAAATCAGAAGTGTAACCACTACGCTAAGGTGCAATTCGAGAGAGACCTTAGTTTAAGCCTGATCTTATGAATCTATTGATGCTCAGAGATAGTTTCAAAACTATTCAAGTGGGGGATTGTTGAAACACAGACCCCTTAAACCCTTTAAACACAGACCTTCGAAGAGCAGAAACAAAAGAGAGAAAGTGAGTTTGGAGAGTTTTGGTTTTCGCACAAAACCAACGAGCAAAGAGTGACTGTTGTATTCTGGTGGCGACCCGACAGATAGTCTTATGTGAGTTTCGAGAGTTTTGGTTTGCGCACAAAACCAATGAGCAAAGAGTGATTATTGTATTCTGGTGGCGACCCTACTGATAGTCTTATGTGCGCCTCAAGAGGCAGTACCGCGAACATTTTAAAAAGAACGATCTATTCCGCGACTCAGCTAAATTTCGGTATGTTGGTTTACTCCTTGGGTTTCTGACAAAAACAAGGTAAGGTAAGAAGAGCTATTTGATTACGGCAGGGTACACTTCCCAATGGACACCCAGCTAGTTTCAAACCACTGCGATCCCAACTCCTCAGCGGTTTGATCATATATAGTGAGTGATTACTGATTAGCTTGGTGGGTTATTGACTTATAATTAGAGGGGTTGATTATTAAAAAAAAAAAGAAACTTAAATAAATATCAAAACCATCGACCCTCACAATCACATACACGACAGGCATCATCGTGCTTTGCACGCATAAAGAATCGGGTTCTCATTATATAAAGGTAGTGATAATAATTAAATTTAAGTTTTGAAACAATTAAAGCAAGATAAAGGCTGGGATTTATTTTATACGTTGCTTAATGATTTCTCAATTCTCATACTGAAAATGAGAGATTCATCCATCCCCACTGCTGCGGCTTGCAAATTTGTCAACCCAATCTCTCTGTATGTTTACTTGTTTAGGGATGGTTGACCCGGGCAATCATGAATTCCGATGGCGGAAAAGTAGGGGAAACTCGGTGAAGCATTCACATGGGTAATGAAAGAGAGAATGCATGCATTGCTTTGCTTTGGAGATATGGTGGATTGACTAATTGTTTGGCTTCTTTCGTTTTCTTCTCCTCCCCTTTCCTTTCTCTTCAAGTTCACTGTTTAGGTTATTAATGTAAGGTTTGAGATCCCGCAATTCAATAAATCTCATTAGCTAGCTACCAATGATAGTAAAGAGGTTTAATTGGTAATTACCCTAGTTAATGTTGTGTTTAGTATGCATTTATAAGAGTCGAGATCCAACATATTTTCTCGTTGTGAAGAATTAATCACTTCTAATTAGAGATAATTATCTCCAATAATAAAAACCCGTTCTGGTGAGATAATTATCATGTTATCTCATGAATCTTCCTTCTTATTTTTGTATATGGTAAGGATACTGGAAAATTGATTCAGAATTTCTCCAAAAAGTATTAAACTCACATCGACTGACCCTGGAAAATTGATTCAGAATTTCTCCAAAAAGTATTAAACTCACATCGACTGACCCTGTCGTTGGCTCGTACTCCCTCTATCACAAAAGTGAGCCATCCCAAAGGACATGCCCTTAAGAGAGAAACACCTATCTAAATCCACTAAATACACCTTTTACAAATGTTCTCCCACCAATATGATGTTTTATCTTTAGACGTATGAAGCTATTTAGGAGCAATTTTGGTGCATAACTGACTCACTTCGAATATCACAATTAATTTTCGCCTAAGATCCAAGTATAAATCTTAGTCGGGTGCAATACATGACAAGTATGTTTAAATATCGACTCGGGCCGGTCTCCGTGTACCCCTACTTCAGTCATTTGAATCATTATCTAGCGAATCAATTTTGGTTGAAAAGTTTGCTAATTAAAGTAAAGCAAGACAAAAGTAAATGGGTTTGAAAGCTCTTTGTGAGAAGGATCACTCGGGTGTTGCTTCCCCCTAACTACTACCATGGTATGCGAATCGAAGTGATTGCTATGGGCAAGGTGATCGCGAACCGTGAGGGGACGCAAATATGGTCGTAGACCACACTCTCTATTGCCAAACCGAGGGATACATTATAGGCTATTCAAGTGGCCCTCTCGGTTAAGGCAATCATTGATTGACTTACTCCCTCACTCAACCCAATGGTTGGCAGGCTTAATCGCGCTTAATCAAATTGCTTAATTCAACATAGAGGTTTTCCCTACACTAACCTAGATAGGTGGTTTAAGGAGCCCGAGGATTCCCAACTCAATTGAGCCTCCCTTGAAAGGGGGGGGGGGGTGGTTCCCCTCTAATCTAGGTTAAAATGGCCAATTAGATTGCTAAGTACAAACATGCACAATCAACATGAAAAATACTTCAATCATTGAATTAACAACACCCATAAACAATCATTCAATTCACATAACAACTACATGGCAAATAGTTAGGGTTTCACAACACCCAATTGAAAAAGGAAACTACTCCATGCTAGAAAGGGGAGAAATACAAGAGGAAGAGGTAGAAACCATCATGTTGATACTTCCAATCTCATTTGAGCTTGTGCTGAACTTCTCTTGGGGAGAATCTTCCCAATTCACCACTTGGAGCAAACCCTAGTCTTCTTTCTTCTTTGGTTCATTCTTTCTCTCTCTAAAATCTGAAGAAGACACTTTCTCACTCTTGGGCTCCCTCTTTCTCTTCCTTTCAGCTCTCCTTTTAAACAGGGATTGGGATCAGTTCACGGCCTCAGCTCATGGCTGTGAACTCTAGAACGCGTCCGTCAACTCAAGGTTGGCGTCGAAATGCACCGCTTCGCTTGTATAGGTTCACGAGCAACATCACCAGTTCACAGTCTTAGTGACCGTAAACTCGCATAGCGTTGGTAACTTCAGATTTGGCCCTGGACTCCTTGATGTTCACGGGCAACAACTCCTCTTCACGGTCTTATCTGACTGTGAACTTCCAAGAGAAACCGTGAAATGCCGGTTTTTCACCTCTTCTCCCGGTTTTCGCTCCTTTTCGTCCAACTTTCGACTCCAGGGCAGGTTTCACCTGTTAAATCTTGAAACATGCTAAAACACAAGAAACCTCACGTAAAACCACACTTTTAGGAGCACAACTGTCACAAACGCCTAAAAAAATGGGGGTAAAATATGTACAATTAGGCATGAATCAATAACCTTGAGGTGCAAAACCATGCATAATCTGTCACATCACCATCACATTATCCTTTATGTGAGACCTTAATCTTTTCTCCTCTAAATTTTAAGGGGATATATCTCTTTCATTTTAAGTAAAAATTTAATTTTTTTTCACTGATAAATCTGTTAAATTGTACTCTACAAAATGATATTCACTTTGATATATTTTTGTATAATTTTTTTGAGGCATTTAGTACCCGTCTATAACATGGTGGTATTGTTTGATATTTACATAAGAGCATACAATGTGGTATGGAAGTGTATCATGATGGTATGAACATACTGGACTGTATAATGGTTGAATACATGATAGTAGGAATATACTATCATTTACAACTTTCAACATTGTATACCATAAGATACCACCTCTCTATATTAGGGGTGATATAAGGCAGTATTTTTTGTTCTTGTATTTTTTCATATAAATATGTAGTTCAAATAGATCATGATGAACTCGTTTCTTCGGTGCAAATTTTTTCAAAATCGACTTAAAAACAAAGGAGATATCATATGGTATGAAGCTGGACGAGTGCTATGAGTGAAATAAAAAAGTTATCGAAACTTATTGAAAGATAAGAAGGATCCAAGGTAGAACAAAAAAGATAAGAACCAATTAAAAAAATTAGAAAAAATAAAAAAATTTTAATTGTCAACCTTTAGATTTGGGACCCAGTTATACAAGTTTATGCGCCATAGACACAAATTATAGAAATCGTCAAAAAACAATCACAAGAGTAATGCTACAACAAGAAACTCATGATATTTGATTATCTTTACACTCCAAACATGTCATTCAAATCCTTGTGAATTTTTTAAACATCTGGCCAATTTATGAGTGATTTATCATTTTGGGAGTGATATATAAAATGGAAGGGGTCTAACGGGTCGACCCGCTAATCCACCCAACCCGACCCAAAAAATCACGGGTTATCGAGGTCGGACATCATTTGAATTTCGGGTTATAAAAATATCTACTTTTCAGACGAGTTCGGGTTGGATCAACGGACCGAATTGTAATTTCCCAGGTCTACTTCCACCTCAACTTCAATTAAATTTTTTTTTGCGTCATAGACAAAATGCCGCAATTAAATGCACAAAAAAAAGAAGGTGAGTTATAACTTATAAGTTATTCAGGCCAGAAAAATACAGAATCAGCATCTATTATTACATAGTTGAAGTAGCTTTTCCAATTGATTATTAGATAATCCGTATTACACAAGTTAATTAATCAATAGACCAACCAACGGGGGAAAAAGTAATCAATGGAGATTCACTCATTAGCACGCAACAAGATTTGATTATAGCCCTCCTCTAAAATAAAATAAAATAAAATAAAAACCCACCACGCACCTTCTCCCTCGGCGCAAAAAAAAAAAAAAAAAAAGGATTTGAAAGGAACCATTATATCTCCCCCTAATCCAAATCAAAAACATTTTGATTATTTCTTCAAATTATCAATTAAAAGCTGTGAAGCCTGTGACCAATCTCATGCGTCCAAAAGCGACAAGTTGACTTTCTATAATTTACAACACCAACTCACAGGAAGCTAGAGAGAGAGAGGGAGCGGTTTTAATTTTCTTTTCCCCCAACTGGGAACCAACCAATCAAGCCATGGCTGACCAAAACCCAACCCATATCAAAACCCCTCCCTCCCCCTCCCCCCTCTCCCTCTCCCTCCTTTCATTCTCCAAGCCTCTCAAATTCCCCTCCGTCCGGCGATGAATCCCGCCAACAACAGCACCGCCACCGACGGCGGATTCCTCGGATCCCAGAACATCGGCGGGTTCGGGTACGGAATCGGGGTCTCCATCGGCATCCTCCTCCTAATCACCACCATCACTCTCGCCTCCTACTTCTGCACCCGCAACAACCAGCACGCCTCCTCCTCTGCCGCCGCCGCTTCCCCGCAGCGGAGGGAATCGTCGGAGCACGTGGCGATCGAGATCGGATTGGACAGGGCGACGCTCAAGAGCTACCCGAAGCTGCTATACGCGGAAGCCAAGCGGCAGAAGAAGGACACCACGGCGTCGTGTTGCTCCATCTGCCTGGCGGATTACAAGAACACCGACGTCCTCCGCCTGCTGCCCGACTGCGGCCACCTCTTCCACCTCAAGTGCGTCGACCCCTGGCTCCTCAAGCACCCCACGTGTCCCGTCTGCAGGACGTCGCCGCTGCCGTCTCCTCTCTCCACGCCGCTCGCCGAGGTCGTTCCGCTTGCCAGCAGGCCGCGCGGATAGAGTTAGTTGCGCTTCCAGATTAATGACGTAATTAATTTAATTGCTCCCATTCGAATATGTTCGACTCTCCTCTTTTTCCTTGTAAGATAGAATATATTTCTTCCCAAAAGGAAGAAGCATTTTATGTTACTACATACACATTACACGGTAATATTCGGGACATAATTGTAAAATGTAGGTTAGGGTTAATTAAGGGAATTACTTTCATGCTTACTGATTTAATTTGGTTCCAGTTTTATTTTCTTAACGAAACTGATTTGTTTGCTCGGTACCCGATATTGATGATGAGGTAGCATGGTTTGAATCTCATCCTCATCATTGAAGAGAATGATTTTTTTTTTCTTTTACGATATAGAATATTATTAAAAGAAAGTAAATGTTTAAATGTAAATCATTAAGTACTTATTTGTTGTTATAATTGAACTGATCATTAGTGGTTGGTACCTGGCTTGAATGAAAGATACAGTTGGTTAGAAAAATTCATAGCGTTAGCGAGGTTAGTTGTTGAAAATATGAAAATGAGCTAACAAGCGGGAGGGGGGTCCAGCTGGAAGGAAGGAAGGATGGACTAATTAGAGATGTATCCGATTTCACAATTAATAGTAGTGATGAATAGAGCAGATCGCCTCCTAGTGTCAATACGAAGTAGATCATACATAACAGCTATAATATTGACAATATTGTTTGGTTAGAACAACCTGGAGCTTATTGAGAGCCGGCAGGCCATGTCCAGTATTAGCTGTAGTCTAAATATAGCTAGCCTTTTCTCCATTATTGCGTGAGAATCTGTCACCACGAATTCAGCTATTGCAACTTTTGCACATTTGGCAGCACAAGTCTTTTTGTTCACACCGGTATGGTTTGAGAGTGATATAAGATTTAAATTATCATTTTTTCAATGACGGTAACTATTGGGATCAACAAGTTTATGATATGTTATATCAAATTTGTTTTGATCAAGTGGTTGTGTGTTCGAATCTTCACGATTCTCAATATTAACAGTTGATATAAGCACAAGTTATGAGAGAAAAGATCTACTAACAATGGGGTGCTTAGTCAAATGACAAACTCTCTCTCAGTCCTTAGGTCTAGATGTACGAATCCAATGGTTAAAACAAGGAAATGACTACTTAATAAGTGATACAAATAACTATAGTGTTAAGAAAATTAGTGTCATAAACCAATTAGTTCCAACAACTCGAGTTATTGGGATAAGGTTATTATGAATCTTATACTACTCTCTTACACGCCTCTCAAACGAAAGCCAACCAATGGGCTTGAAATTTGCACAGACAATTACCATACCTTGTGCTTTAATCAACGGTTAATATTGGGGGTCGTGGAGATTTGAACACGCGACCAATTAGCCAAACCAGCTCAGATACAGTGTCATAAAACAGTTGGTCCTATAACTCGAGTTATTAGGAGAAAGTTATTATGGATCTTATACCATTCTCTTACAATTTTATTCATAATTTTATTTTATTTTCATTTTTAGTTTTCCCTCTTTCACAAAACACTTCAAGCGTTCCGCAACCTTTTTTTAATGAACTAGTGGTATTATATTTCATAAAAACCCCAATACTGCTCGGCAACACCCCTCCAAACTAAGACCTGAAGTCCTGAACAATCCGAATAAAACTCAATTTGGCCTAACAGTATATACTACTGTTAACAAGACTTGAATTGGACTATCTGGAAGGGGTGACTTAAATCCGTCTGTCGTGTTCGTTCTTTTTTTTTTATTCCTCAGATCACGATTCATAGAAACAGTTGTGACAAGTGCTATTAGAGCACTGATTGGAGATCAAGCTAGGGTTTCAAGATTGAAGAATGACTTCAGTGAACATGAAGATCTAAAAGTTCACAGGGAGAACAATTTCCGTATATGGTAGATCAAGATGCAGGCTTTATTGAAATAGCAATAGTCATTGAGGACGCTTTTTGGTAAACAGAAGAAGATAGGAGTCAACGACTATGAGTGTAATTGATGTGATTCTCGCCGCTGGAAACAAACCCGTCCTTGAAGGCCCATTCACCGATTGGAGAAATGGAAGGAGCGAACTGGGAATCTGTCCAGGGATTTCCCCCCGGCCAGGACATCAAAATACCCGATCGGGTATTTAAACCGGGTTTTGGGGTCTAGTCGAGTTTGGCCTTCCTTTTAGGTTTAGATTTTTGTTCCTTTTTGGGTTTTTGGTTATTTTATTTTCCCTGGGCTATATAAAGGGTTGTAAACACGAATTATGCAGATGAGGTTTTGATGAATAAGAATTTTACACAGAGGTGTGTTTTCCCCATAGAGCATGATTGCTTACGGTTTATTGTTTTAGCTATTGGTGAATTCCATAGCTAGGGTAAGATCCTTGTTCGAGTTATTCTGTCGAGGATTCTAGAAGAGCTTGGCAAGACTCTTATCAATCAACAAATCACACTTGATTGTGACAAGTATCTAACCCCACGTATCCTTTACTTTTCGAGTTGTTGAGCGAAAAACAAGAAAACTCTTAAAAGATCGAGGAGCGCAACTTTGACAGAAGAATCTAAGATTCGCGATCTCGGGATCTTATCAAGTGGTATCAGAGCCTAGTTCAAATCCGTGGCCAGGAGAAGAAGATTACAAGCTTTCTGCAAGCTCCCGGCAATGGCAGAGGAGTTAGGGCAAGGCATACCCACAAGTTTCTGATATGTTGTATCAAAATTTTTTTAACAAGTGATTGGGTGTTCGAATTTTCATGACTCTCAATATTCATAGTTGATATATACACAAGGTATGAGAGGAAAGATCTACTGACCAGGGGGTTCTTAGTCAAATGACAAACTCTCTCTTAGCCTTTAGGTCTAGATGTACAAATCTAATTGTTAAAACAAGGAAATGACTACTTAATTAGTGATAAAGATAACTATAGTATTAAGAAAATTAGTGTCATAAACAAGTTGGTCCTAATAACTCGAGTTAATGGGAGAAAGTTATTATGGATTTTATACCACTCTCTTACACACCCCTCAAACGAAAGCCAAACCATGGGCTTGAAGTTTTCACAGGCAATCACCATAATATGTGCTTAAATCAATTGTTAATACTGGGGGTCGTGGAAATTTGAACACACCACCAGTTAGTTCTACCATTCTCCTACAATTTTTATTCATGATTTTATTCTTATTTTTAGTTTTCCCTCTTTCACAAAACTCTTCAAGCACTCCCCAACCTCTTTTTTTGTTATGAATTAGTGATATTATATTTTGAAACACCCTAGTCTGGCCAGACACTACTTTTTTTTATCAAAAATACCCTTGATAAACCGTGAAATAAAATAAGAACTAAAAATACTTAGAAAAATAGCGGAAACATTTCATAAATACCTTAATAAATACTGAAACCAATTGTCATTACTTAAATTCGAAGCCCTAACACTTGGGCACACTCAAACTTTAAAAGTCTCAACCTAATCTCCAGTCTGTACTCATAATCATAAAGAATAATAACTAATAGTCTCTATTGCTTCCGTTAGTGAAAACTTTGACTAGGCATCCTCCGTGACGCTTGTACTACGCTCCTCTAGCTGGCTTCCCTCAAAGTCGTTGTTCTCTACCTGGTGAGTGAGTTGGGATCAGCCTACGCCCTTATGTTAAAAATCTCTAATACTGGAATAATTTACTTAAGGCACTTAACTTAAACTAGTGGAAGTTGTTTGTACTTCCACTCTTAAAAATCTTACTCTTAAAGCTGTATGGGAGCTACTGTTACTCTCTCCTCTTAAAGCTCAAATCTCACTTAAATACTTGATTGGCATGGGGATCCCTCACTAGCTAGTCCGGTCGCCCAACTCATACGTATGCCCAAATCTCACTTCAAACAAAGCTCAAATCATTCACAATCACCAATCATAAGCACAATCAACCATGACAATCACTTCATTAAAATAGTTAAAGCTTGTAATACTTGGAAAAAAAATAGCGAAGGCGTAGAATTTACCCCCTTTACACTCACCTGAATATATAGTTAAAGATTCTACTTTGTAGATCCATCGGCTTCATGAACTAGGTACTCCAAAAGATGTCATGGAACATCTTAGCATTTAATCGACATTTCTCCCCCATCAACTCCATTCGTTTCAGTCATAAAAAATCAACCACAACAAATTGCCCAAGTCATGTTAAAGCACCTCCCGTATACATACATATTTACTTAACCATTTCACTTGTTATTCCTCTATGAATTAGCTAAATGCGAGTAGTCTAGGTAACTTACCCAAAACTACTCGCCTTCAATTTCCGCTTCCTCATACCGCATCCCCAAAGATGGATGCCGCTTACGTGATACTTCCCAGGTGTGGTTTTCGATAACAATTGTGATTTCTCGGGGGAATTTATGGAGAGGGGACACGTTTTAGATTTGGCCCTAGGCTGGCAAAACTTCTCGTCTTCAAATTGATCCTCTACCCTGACCGTTTACGAGAAGGGAAATGATTCCCTTAAATTTTTGTGTCCCATCCATAAATTGTGCAAGCTCGCCCCCGGAGTGGCAGTCTTCTCCTGCTTTCTTAAGTAGCCAGGTCTCACAGTAGAGAGCGCGCAAATTGGCTCCTGTTCTGCTTGGCCACCACCACCTTGCTTAAGTAGGCAATTCTCATAGTAGAGTAGAGAACAACGAGAATCGGAGAGAACAATTGCACGAGGAGAGGGTAGAGAGAGAGAGAGAGAGAGAGAGAGAGAGAGAGTGGGGACGACCGCTAGCAGGGGTCTAATTTGTGGTGGTGGTCCCTAATGGGGTAATGGTTCTAGGGTTAGCTAAGTTTTAATTAGTTCAATGGGTATTTTGAGAATTTCATATATTACGGGTAGTTTAATCCGTAACTCAACTAACGTCCGTAACTTAATGATTTATGTCCAAATTCGACACCGTTTGAACCGAGAGCACACATTTTTTTCCTCATCGATATTACTCGGTGGAATTTGATAATTTTTTGACCAAGGGAAAAATGGTCTTTTGTACTTAAGAAAAGGGCAAGGTGTAACATTTCTATCCCCGTTTGAAAATTTTCGTCTACGAAATTTGCTCAAAACCCATTCCTCTGCCAACACCATCCTTGTACCCCCCTTGCCTCAAGAATTTTATTCTTGTTGTGTAAACATCAATGTCGTGTCCTTACCTTGTCTTGAATAGCTTACTATAGTTCGTATATGGACTCTTGATCATAACAAGTATTCTCATCTAGCTCGGTAGCATTGAATAGGTTTGAGTGACTCATTGCCCTTTTAAAATTTTCCAACTTGGGTCCAGGGTGTGATGGGACAAAATTTCGGCGCAATTTATTTGGTCCAACTAATTCAGTACTTGATGTTGAATCTAAATAGAATTCGAGGTATCACATTTCCTCCCGCCTTATAGAAATTTCGCCCTCGAAATTCGTCAACTTATGCGACATGACCTAAAAATCATTCTCTCCATTCCACGCAACTTCAATGTTGTTGTGGCTTCTTAACCCCTCACATTACCTAGGCTGCACCTTGTGCATATATCGGAATGATAACTATCCATTATTGGTACATGAGAAGTTAATGCCCCTCTCCAACCCCAAGGTCACAGATGCCCGCTTATCCTCCATCTAATCAGATGGTAAAACACTTTTAACGTAATTATCGTCTGGGGTTGACCTCATAGGTCACCTAGTGTTACACCCCGATCTTCCCAAAAGTCAAAATGACTATTATACCCTTGGGGGAAATTCGTCAAATTCCATTGTAATATCGATGAGGACTAAAAATGCGAACTCTCGGTTCAAACGATGTCGAGTTTCGATATAAATCGAATAAGTTACGGACGTTAGTTGAGTTGCGGATTAAACTCACCCGTAATTTGTGAAATTCCCAAAATACCATAGAACCATTCAAACTCTAATCCTAACCCTACCCAATTCCCCGTCCCCGTCCCCGTCTACCCTATTCCTTAATCAACAGTATAATTTATAGCTGAAAAATAAAACTGCACCCCCCATTCAAAATTTCCTGCCCATAGAGTGATTTTAGAAAGCTGATGTGGCAGAGTGTTAAGTGGGGAAAAAAAGGAGTCCCGCGTGATTTCAGAACCAAAAAACTCTCCACTACCCACTTTTTTCTCCTTCCACGCCCACGTTCTCTTTTTTTTTTGCCTGATTTCAGGACCAAAAATTTCTCCACTACCCACTTTTTTCTCCTTCCACGCCCACGTTCTCATTTAATTTGTATTAATTTGTATTTTTTATTTTCGATTTCCCTTCCTTCCACTCTTTCCCTTCATTCCGTTTTCTTTATTCTCTCTTACCTTCCTTGCTTTATTCTGTTGATTGGATTCTCTAGAGATCAAAAGGGGATTTTTGATTTTTCCCTTTCTCTTGAAAGTAACAAAGCTGCTTACTTTAAATTCCACTTCGCTTAGACTGTCTTCCAGAGAGCAGCCGACTGCCGATTTTGAGCTGAGTTTTTCCGGGCCGCAGAGAAAGAAGAGGAAAGAAAGAGACGTTCGGCGGCGGCAGGCGGACGAGAATTTTGGTAAAGAGATCTTGGGGAAGGTGATCGTACATTGTGGTGCCAAGAGAATCGGCTTGGAAAAGGGGAAACGCGAACACTTTTTTGAGTCTTGATAGAGACGAGTGGCCAAAAAATAAGGTCTGCAAGTTCGGCTGATCGCTCTAATCGGAACAGGGGAAGGCTTTAAAGAGTTTTAGTAATTGCAAGTTTGATCACTCAGCTCAAAATCGGTGAAATAAACATATATTTGTGTTGGCCATTACATTGTTGTCCTTTTCGCTCTTCCTTTGCATCCCCAAGCTTGGAAGCCATTATGTTATATGTGTTTTGTTCATCAATTTAAATTATGCCTTATATAGTTATATTTTTCTTCGACTGTTATGTTTGTGTGGTGTGTTGTATGTGTCATTAACTCGCACAAACTTATAATTGGTGAGGAGTTCAACTTCTGTTGTAACAATTAATTAATTTATATGAATGGCAGCTGCAAAATTTACTGGAACGGGTGCATCATTTACCACGACCTCTATTTCAGATTGCATCAGGTTATTGGAGAATCAACAGTATAATTTATAGCTGAAAAGTAAAACTGCACCCCCCATTCAAAATTTCCTGCCCATAGAGTGATTTTAGGAAGCTGATGTGGCAGAGTGTTAAGCGAAAAAAAAGAGTCCCCGCCTGATTTCAGAACCAAAAAACTGTCCACTACCCACCTTTTCTCCTGTCAGGCCACGTTGTCATTTAATTTGTATTTATTTTTTATTTCCCAGGAAGGAAATGGTACACTAAAGAAGCGTGCAAAACAACAAAACCCAGATGCAAAGCTCCTTCCTTTTCCCCTTCCATCAGTTCCTTTGTTTTTTTCTACTGTTATTAAGAGAGAGAGAGAGAGACAGAAAGGGAATCGCAATTCCAATCACATTACAGAAAGAGAGGGGGAAAGGTGAAAGGGAGAAGGAAGTCGATTGTGAGGTGCGAGCTCCCGCCTGTGAACTACTCCGCCGCCGTGGATTTGCGCCGCCCCGGCGGCGAGGTTGTGGAAGGGAACTGGATGGCTTCTTCGAGGAGGGCGGCGAATCAGACGGCGGATGAGGAAAATTCCGATTCCGTCCCCGATTGGGGGAAAGTGGTCTACGAGGCGATTCTGGATTGGAACACGGTAGTGTTGGCGAAAGGGTTGAATCTGAAGCAACGGAGGGAAGTCGATCCGGCCGAATTCAGGTGCCATTTCTCGCTGAGCAACAATTTGACCAGAGAGGAGAGCTTCGTCTTCACCACCGAAGCCACCGCCGCGGCTCAGGAAGTGGTCTGCTGCTTGCATCCGGAAAAACAACACCGCGCTTGCCGAAGGAATCCGCGTCACCGTCAGCCGCGTCGAAGACTTCGCCGCCTCCCCTGCCTCGGCCTCCCCTGCAGCTCTGCCATCGGTGGCGAAAGTGTACAACCCGAAATCCCACGGAATGAGAGGGAAAGGGGAAGAGAAGTACGAGCTCTGTGCTTGCACGATGCTGTGGAATCAAGCGTCGGTTTTGAAGGAATGGGTGATGTACCACTCGTGGCTGGGAGTGGAGCGATGGTTCATCTACGACAACAACAGCGACGACGGGCTACAAGACGTCGCCGACGAGCTCAACACGCGGAATCACAATGTCTCCAGGCACGTCTGGCCGTGGATCAAAGCGCAGGAGGTAAGGTTCTCGCATTGTGCTCTGAGAGCAAAGTACGAGTGCAAGTGGGCCGGCTTCTTCGACGTCGACGAGTTCTTCTAATTCCCTCACTACAGTGGCCAAACCCCCTTGCCAGGGCAGAACTCGCTCCGCGCCATGGTCTCGAACTACACCGATTCGCCCACGATCGCGGAGGTGAGGACAATGTCACACAGCTTCGGCCCATCGGGGCTGACAGAACCGCCGAAGCAAGGTGTGACGGTAGGTTACACTTGCAGGCTGCAGGCTCCTGAAAGGCACAAGTCCTTCGTCCGACCGGACCTTCTCGACTTGACGCTGCTGAACATTATGCATCACTTCAAGCTGAGGGAAGGGTAAAAGTCGACGAACGTGGCGGAGGGGACGGCGGTGATCAACCACTACAAGTACCAGGTGTGGGACACTTTCAAGGCCAAGTTTTTCAGGAGGGTTTCGACCTATGTGACCAACTGGCAGGACGATCACATGTATTTGTGTTGACACATGTATTTGTGTTGTTTCATTTGTTGCATCGTATATATTTTAATTCCAGGTCATGTGAGGATCATGCTAGCCTAGACAGGGATGGTTCCGCCCATATATGATTATGGTACACCCGTCTTAATGGTCTATTTCGATGGCGGATAGGCAATGATGAGGGAGGTTTGCGGATTTTGACCTTTTTTTATAAGCTATTGTTTTGGTTGGTTATACCTCAATGTTTTGTTTAATTATTTCTTGGTTCCTTTGTTCTCTCTTTGGAGTTACTCACCTTAATTTAGTGGAATCTCTTGGCAATTTTCTGATAATTGACTTGCTGCTCTCAAATGCACAAATTTGCAGGATGGCTTATGCCAATGGACCAGATGCTGCTCAGCTAAGGTTTCGATTATATCTTCCACCCTGCTATCAAAGTTGACCCTTGGCTTCCGAGATATTGAAGTCTCCTCTTTATGGTTTGGCTTTATTTCTTTCTATTTCCTGGCATGGTCCTCCAATTCTTGATTGTGGGTTTTAGTTCTCAAATCAGGACTTGCTTTTCTTGCCATGATATGGCTTCAATGCATGAACCGCTTCTTTTGGTTGAGTTTTTGTTAGTGGTTTAAACAATTAGCATATTTTCTAAATGTAGGGTAATTTGGTGGGGGAGACTAATCAATTCTACATTTTCAGATACATTAGCCTACTTTCAATATGCAGTGTTTGTATGTATGATTCGAGAGTAGGGGTCTATGATCCATATGTCGTCTTTCAGGCCTGCACTTTCGGCTGATATATGTTTATCACTCCAACGAATGAAGCCTTACAAATTTATGGGGGTTGATGATTACCCCGGGTGAGTTAGTCGGTGCATTTATGTCCTCTCCTCCCTACTGCTTTATTAGCCGTTTGTCTCACTTTTAGTCGTTCTGCTCTAGAAGGTGACCATTATATCATGTGTGATCTGATCAATTTCAATGTTTTTCATTCACGTGTTTCCTTATTACTAGCTCTATTCCCACACTTCGAAGCGATTAGTTTGAGCCTTCCAGTATATGATCCTATAAACTCATTTACAATTGAATTGTCAGTATAAGCTATTTTACTTGCATTATATAACGCTTTGGAGTTTGGGACATTTTATTCTTAAAGCTTTTAGTCATTTTTGCTATATGGTTTCGATTTTTTTATTTGGTTTAGATATTTATCCAGTTCGATCCGGCTTTCTAGTTGTACGAAATTAAGTTGGCTGAATCTATCACTTAAAAAAAAAAGTTTGCTGAATCTATCTATTTTAGGAGTCAAAAGTTCTATCATCTACTTGAAAAATAACTCTTAAGGCGTGTGTCTATTTCTTTGTAATAACTTGGTTTGTTTTTCCTAATTATTTTCTCTGTCATTGTTGACATGGCCTGCAATTTCTCATTAACAAAAAGGACTATGCATGGTTTCCTACTCCAAACATGCTTGTAGTGTCTTCCCAGTTCCCACCGCTTCGACATTGGTGAAACACAAAGCTCCTTTGCTATATCACCAACAAAGATGTTTCATTATTATCAAAACTACGCTGGTACGTGCCTAGACTAATTGTTCTTTATCAATGCCCAGTTAGTAACTTTGTTCTAATATGCCTCTTAATTTTCAACAACGACAAGTTTACAGTTTGTTCTCATTCTGTTCAACTTATCTTCCACTATGCTTTCAGTATGCCTCCTTTCGTTGATGTTTTGTATGTTCATATGACAAGAATCGTTACCTCATTTTCATCATTGATACAAGATCTCTTGACTGATCTCTTGCTATTATTTCATAGTAGAACCTTTAAATATACAAAACAAATTTCAGTTACAGACAATCATGTCACCAATTTACCTGAGAAATTTTAATGGAAATCACTGTGGTTTTTCAGCCAAACACTTGCTGATTTTGGTTATTCCCCCGTTGTTACTATATTTGCACTTTAGACACCCAGTTGTAATCTTCGACGATTCCAACTTCGTGTGGATGCTAATTCCTCAATCATGACTTATGATAGACCGTTAGTTACACATGTTTTCACCCCTGTTCTTACACCGTTTGAGATGTGGTTTCTCGTGTTTTAGACCGATTTCACGCTAGGTTGTGCTTGTTTGTGATATTTCAGGTCCTGGCAAGTGAATGAAGGTTTAGGAGCGAGTTCGGGGTCGATTGGGCGAAGTTCGGGCGCGAGGCAAGTCGCAAAGGAGGTCACACGGGCTGCCCTGATGTTCACACAGCCGTGTGAAGGAATGGCCTGGCCGTGCGAGTTTCGCCGAGAGCAGACACGGGCAGAGCAGAGGATCGACACGGCCGTGCAAGTGGCCGGGTTGGCCATGCCACATTCTGCGAGAGCAAACACGGGCAAGAGGGGATGTCCACACGGCTGTGCCATTCTGGCCGTGCAAAGAGCCTGGAATTCGAACTAAATGAAACGATGCGTTTTGACTCACACGGGCAACTGGGTGAGCTGCACGGCCGTGCCACCCTGGCCGTGTGAGTCGGGATTTTCTCCTTTTAAGCAGAATTTCAGCCACAATTCGAGGGGATTCGGGTTTTTGAGAAAGAGAGCGATTTCTAGAGAGAGAAAGTGACGAGCAAGAGTCTCCAAGTGCCCTAGATTGATCTTCAACACCATTGGAGGCCAGCTTGAGCTTGAAGAAGTGCCAATCAACGTCCAGAAGCAGGAATCCATCCTTCGCAGTATGAATTCCGTGTCTGATTCTGCTTTTGCTTTCTTCTCTATGGAGTAGTTCTCCCATTCATCTGGGTATGGAGAACCCTAGATTTGTATCTTAGGCTTTGATTGTATGAACCCAAGTACTGATTCTGTGATTGATTATATTCGATTGAGGTTTTAATGATTGAATGACTTGAATCCTGATCAAATTCCTGTTGTTTCTGCTTTAACCTAGAATGAGAATATCTGACTAGGTTAATAGAGTATCCTTGATTGAAGGTAGGGAGTTGGTGACTTTAGTCGAGGAGCCAACTCACTATTCTGTACCGGATTTACCCCGGTAGTGGAGGTTTTGTTCTTAGGGCCTCAATCTGTCTACTCCGGTGGAGGTTACTCGCCCGCTAGAGATTCAGATTGAGAGGGTCTGAAGACCTTTAGTCGAGACTTCAGGCTGTTTAAGAACCTTGCGCAGTATAACTTTCATAGAAACTGAACTTGGTAATTACAATCCGGCTTAACTGCAGTCTAGGGGGAACCATATCCGGGTGACCTCTTTAACCTGAATACAACCAGTTTACTTGCTTTGTTAGTTTGTTAGTTAGACTTGCATTCCAGTTTCATTGCTAGATAATAAGAATTCACTGAGTAGTCATCAGATCTAGGACCCGAGTTGATAATTAAACCTAAACCCGCTATACTACGCTTTAGGAAGTGGTTACACTTTGCCAATTCCTGGAGTGACAGTAGAGTCGAGTCAAGTTTTTGGCGCCGTTGCCGGGGACGGCTAGGTTGTTGAAGAAAAGTGATTTCTGTTAATTTAGCTTTTCTTTTTGCTTTGTTTTCTTTGTCCCACTTGTGCCTTCACGGGTTTGTTGCTTGAGTGTGTGCAGGTAGTGCATGACCCGTAGCCAGTTGGGAGGTTTACTGCCGTTGAATCCAGATATTGACCGCACCTGTCGCCAGCTCAGGAGACAACAGCGAGCTAGACTGGTTACGGAAGAGCGCATAGACGGCCACCTGAGCAGGGATTCTGAAGAAGAGCACGGGATGGACGGAGACTACAACCAACACCAGGGGAATCCACAGCAGGTTCCCCCGGTGAATCAGGTCCTGGGGAACAACCCCATACCCCAGGACCATGGAGTTCATCATCTACCGCAGCCGGGTCCCACCTTGGAGTACTACTACACTCCTCGGATTGCTGACATCCGCCCGGTCATCCTCTACCCGCCGATCCCAGCAAACAACTTCGAGATCAAGCCATGCTGGATTCAGCTCATCACATCCTCGATCCAGTTTCATGGCTTGAAGGATGAGGAGGCCAGGGTACATCTGTCCCGTTTTCTGCAGCTGACAAACGGGTTCAAGCTGAACGGTGTTCCCGATGATGCGATCCACCTTCATCTCTTCCCCCATTCTCTGGCGGGGAATGCTAAGAGGTGGTTGGAGACCCAGCCCCCATTGTCCATCACCTCTTGGGACGATCTGGCGGACAAGTTCGTGCACAGGTACTATCCGGCATCGAAGACTACAGAGATTCAGCGGGAGATCACTCACTTCCGCCAGGAGCCAGATGAGTCACTCCATGATGCTTGGGAGCGGTACATGGGCTACTTCTGGCAGTGCCCCCACCATATCCGGATGACCTCTTTAACCTGAATACAACCAGTTTACTTGCTGTGTTAGTTTGTTAGTTAGACTTGCATTCCAGTTTCATTGCTAGATAATAAGAATTCACTGAGTAGTCATCAGATCTAGGACCCGGGTTGATAATTAAACCTAAACCCGCTAAACCCGCTATACCTCATTTTCATCATTGATACAAGATCTCTTGACTGATCTCTTGCTATTATTTCATAGTAGAACCTTTAAATATACCAAACCAAATTCAGTTACAGACAATCATGTCACCAATTTACCAGAGAAATTTTAATGGAAATCACTGTGGTTTTTCAGCCAAACACTTGCTGATTTTGGTTATTCCCCCGTTGTTACTATATTTGCACTTTAGACACCCAGTTGTAATCTTCGACGATTCCAACTTTGTGTGGATGCTAATTCCTCAATCATGACTTAGTAATGATGTAGTCTTTAACTGATAATTTACCCCTCTTTTGGGTACATATGCACCTATTTTTGTTCACAAATTTATTTTTAATTTCACAGCCAAGATAGTCAACTGGGG